GCTCCCAGTATGACACTTATTGATGTGCTTCCGGCGTCTTGATCTCGCGGGGGTCAGAATGATGGCATCCTGGGGCGGGTTTTTATAACCATTAAAATAGATATAATCCTTCACTGCCCATTTCCACCTCCCCCTACAGGCAGATTGGCAAGGAATCTGACGTCTCCATTCTTCTGAAAGGTGTTGTTGTCCAAAAGGCGCCGGGTCCCATTTTTTTGTAAAAAGCCACCAAAATAACAGTTCGCCCATTTGGTGGGTGGGGGTGGGGGGGGGGGGGGGGTCAGGAGGTGAGGTGAAGCGAGAGGTGAGAGGGACGAGGTAACCCGAAGCGGGGGGGACAACTCAGACCGAGACCTGATACACTGACCCGGAGACGTAACGGGGGGGGGGTGAGAGAGAGAGGGAACCCGAGCCAGAGAGGGAGAGGCGAGGTGAGGGGAGACGGGGGACATCGCGGGACGCGGGAGACAGACGTGCGTTCGTGTCGGAGGTGGAAACAGACGCTCGCCCCGCGGATATTGATTCCTGCTTCGGCGGGACCGCGTGCACGAAACCGATGCGCCGCGTTACGGCAGAGAGACAAAGCTTGTGAGATTGCGCCAGTCAGACCGAGGAGCAGAGAGAAATGGTTTCCGCTCACGTCAAGGTCACGCAAGCCCGGAAACACTCGCCTTTGTGTTTTTACACGCCAGCGATAACGCAGACAGGCGGCTCGGCCGACAGAGGTGCCGCGTTAACAACTCCTCCCTTCAGCTTTCTGGTCTTTCCGCCTCTCCGCTAGAAACGGCAAGAAAGCGAGGGAGGCGTCACTGCGCCCCCGGACACGCCGCGTGTCTGTGTGTACATAATAGCACGTGATTACACACCCTCCCAGATGGTTACGCATGCACGCTCTTCACCGCCGGCAGACGGGATCTGATAAGAATGTGATGACACGCGAGGGGGGGGGAGTAAAGTTTTCCGGCTCTTACATCAGTTTCTTCTTCTTCTTCTTCTTCTTCCGTTCCCTGTGGATGGCGTCACGTGCACGGGCCCGGGCACGCCGTCTTCTAGAATCAAACACACACTCTCTCTCTTAACTCCCTGACACACACACAAAGACCTACACAGCAGGCCCCTCGCCGCAATGCTTCCTTTTATTTGCCTCCTGAAGACTCGGTGTAGAGCAGCTCTGCGCTCGGCTCGTCTGCCTTGCAGCGTCACCTTAATTGATGTCTGCTGGTTGAGCAATTTTACCCAATATTGCAAAACAAAAGGCTGCTGTTCTCACGCCAGACAGGGATTCAAGACAGCTTAGTATCACCGCCATTGGTCTTATACGCCCACATAAAAGAGCCTCCGCCGCTTTAAGTGGTGTTGAGGCGAGGGTTGAATGAAAAAGGGACGAGAATGGATTTAGAGCTGAACGAAATTGCACTCGGGTTAATTCAATAATTCAGATTTTTTTTTTTTTTTTTTTTATCTGGTACTTGTCACAAAAATGTAATCTAACTGAAGCGTTGTGAGGCGATTGTGAGCTCCGCTATGATGAGGTCTCTTGGGAGAGACGCTTCACCGCAAATTGCCGCCTTAGCCGTGCTAACAGTGTGTGAATACCCCCCCCCCCCCCCATCGATGCTTGAATGTGTGTTAAAGTGCGGTAAACGGTTGAATAAATGGGCTATGCAGCCATTGACTGTTAAACTCTCCTCTGAAAGTTGATCCTTTCAGGTCTGTGCTTGGAGGAAGTTGCGTTTGCTGTCTGTAAAACTCGTGCACATTCACCTCCACGCGCTTCAGCTCAATGTTGTCAGGTAGAAAACGACACAAGTTCTCTTTCCAGCTACAAAATGTTGTGTGGCTGAAGCACAAAGCCGGCCGTTTACACCTGGCTGGATCACACTGTCTCCCAGACCCTCACGTCTTTTTATCATGAGTAGTTTAATATCTTCCTGAGCCGTCGCTCACTGCTATTCAAGGTATCAACCGATATAATTGTGCCAAAAGGACAATTCAAAATGCGGAGGAGTGATGAAGAGACGGCGCATGGGTCTCTGATACCGGCGAGCCCGCCCCCTCAAGCGCACTCCTCTTTATGGCCTATTTTGCTCTAA